TGAAACTCACTCTGTAGACCAGGCTGGCCTCGAACTCAGAAATCTGCTTGCCTCTGCCTCCCAAGTGCTGGGATTAAAGGCATGTGCCGCCACTACCCGGCAGCAGTATACATTCTTTTTTTTTTTTTCTTTTTTTTTTTTTTTTTAGAGTAAGACATAGCTTTTTATTGGTCTAACCTGGTCTAACCCACATGCCTAGTGACAAGCTTGGACAGCTTTCTCCTTCTGCCCTCCAGTCTTCCCTCTGTTGAGAGCTCAGGGGCTCAGGGTGATGGAGAGATGAGGCCGCTGAGCAGAAGGGGGCAGCACCCTGCACAGCCCCTGCTTTGACAGGATGGGAGGGATCAGAAGGGAGGAAGCTTCTCAGCAGCTCCTACTGTGCCCTCTGAGTCATCAGCATCTCTCGGATGTTGTCCTCAGCTTCCCTAACACTCCGCTCCAGGTAGGACTTTTTCTGCTCCAGCTCTTTAATTTTTTTCTTCTGCTATTTTCGGTTTGTCTAACAGCTGGTTGTGAATCACTTCCTTGGACTGTAGAATAAACATTCTTCCTACACCTTCATACATGTTAGTCTCATCTACCGGCGCCATGATCTCCGTGTCCGTAAGGTGTGCATGCTCTTTCGTTCTGTTTAACTGTTCAGTCTGTATGTCTGCAAGCTTCACCTTCTGTTGAGCATCAATAACTTTGGCTTGAAGCTCTGTGAAGGCCTTCTTCAACTGCAGATCCACGGAGGCGTCCATATTGAAGCACTCTTTAGCAGTATACATTCTTAATTGCTGAGACATCGCTTCTGACCTTGCAATCAACTTTTTAAAATATTATCAACTGGAAGCCAGCTATACAGAAGAAGAATTATACTCCATGACCAAGTGAGGTTTCTTCTAGGAATATAGGCTTAGTTCAATATTGGGAAATAAAAAATAGATTGAAAGAGAAAAAATATATAAGGCAGAAAAAAATCTGAAAAAATTAAGTCCCCATTCATGAGAAAAAGTCTCCAAAGAATGAAATAGGAAGGAAATGCTTTTGTCTTGTTTAAGATAGTCTACAAATAACAAAACTTTTGATTCTTGAAGTTCATGCAGTCTCAAGACTGGCTACCCAGAGCCATGGTCATTCACAAAATACCCAACGTTCCAGCCAACCCCTGAGGAAGAAGACATGAGATTGGAGAGGAAGAACTAACTCTTTAATAAAACCTCAGGTCTAAACCTAGACAGTTCTTTAGGGCAAAAAATAGTTCAAAATCTGTGGCCCTGCATGAGGCAATGATTCATTTGCTGGGTTTTGTTGTTTAAAAGATTTATTCTATCTTTGTGTGTGTGTGTGTGTGTGTGTGTGTGTGAGAGAGAGAGAGAGAGAGAGAGAGAGAGAGAGAGAGAGAGAGAGAGAGAGAGAGAGAGAGAGAGAGACACTGCATACTCTTAACCTAACTCTCCAGCCTGGCGATAATTTTGTAAGTTCACCACCAAAAACCTAGTCTAGAACTAACAATAAAAAGTAAGTTCATGGAGGCAACATGTAACTAGAGTTTCAAGAGGCCAGGGATAAAAAACTGAAACATTATTGCATAATTATATTGTAAAAGTATCTTTTATTCGCCTGCCATCTCCCAGGCAATCCTTCAGGAAGCTTCCAGCCTCCATACAATCTTATAGAGACCTAGAATGTTTTCAGCCTCAAAGACTTACTACTGAATTAGCTCACTCTTTTCTAGCTCTTTCTGAACTGTGGCTGGCTGGTTTGACTCAGCTGTTCTGGCTCAAACTCCTCTCCAAGCAGACTGATTCAATCTGGCCTCTCTCTCTTGGTTTTTCATCAAATTGCTCTGCCTGGCTACAAACTAACCTGAGCAATCTGTTCTCACCGTCTGGCTCCTTCTCATTCTCCGACTCATTCTGTCTTCACCTGTGTCTAGCTTGCTCTCCTTTCAACCTAATTCTGTAAAACTCTCTCAGCAGAGCTGCCTTATCTCTCCACGCTGCTCTCTTTAGAGTAGCTTCTCTTTTCTCTCTGTTTTCATGAGAGTTGGGCATATTCTTCTCTGACAAATCTTTCTCTGATTCATCACTGAGTCTGCCGCTCAAATTACAGATCACTTTCAAACATGGCTGCTTCCTTCTACAAACTAACTTTACCTTCATTGCTTGGAATTAAAAGTGTGTGCTAAGGGCGGGTCTGTATTCCAGCCAGAGGGATTAAAGGTGTGTGCTAAGGCTGTGCCACACCACAACTAGAAACAGGTTTCTCCAGTAAACAGCACAACCTCGGGGGTTCACAGTGTGATCAAATATCCTGCAACAAAGGATAGCTTCTTTTAAATTTTATTTGCTCACCATGAGTGCTGGGAACCAAACTGGTCTTCTGGAAGAGTAGTATAAGCTCCTAACCACTGAGCCATACCTCCAGCCCTGAATTACACAGCTTTTTTTTTTTCCTGAGGTTATGAAAATTAAGGAACTATACATTGGGGGCAGATGTGAAACACTGTAAATAAAAGCCATTAATTATACATCAGAAGATGGTTAAATGGGAAAAATTATGTTATGGGTACTTTACCACAGTTTTTAAAAAACTGATCCTGTTGGGGCTGGCGAGATGGTTCAGTAAGTAAGAGTGCTTGCAGCTAAGCTGAGCAACTGACTTGAGTCTGCGAAGCCACACTGAGAAGGAGAGAACCAGCTCCAGAAAGTTGTTCTTTGATCTCCACACAAGCACCGAGGAATAAACAGAAGCCCATTCTCATACGAACACATCATGTGCACACAATAATGACAAATATTTAACTTAAAAAAAACCAATATTGTAGCACAGCAAAAATCATTAAGCAGCACATATAGTTGGGTGAGCTGTGTGTAGATTATGTCTCGGTATTTTATGTATATGGGTGTTTTACTACAGGTATGTCTGTGTACCATGTGTGTGCCTGGCACCTTCAGAGGCCAGAGTGGCACTGCTAATTGGATCCAGTGGGTTACAGAAAAAAAGATAACAAAGAAGAAACCATGAAAGAGAGAGAGTAATGATGGGGGAGGCTAGAGACAGAGATGCTCAAGGTACATTATATGAAGTTGTCAAAGAATAACAGATATTTCTTTTAAAATGTCGAGGGGATGGGCTGCAAAGACAGTTCATCAGTTCCTGAGGACTTCTGAGTTCTGTTTGTAGTTCCCTCCCTACGTGACCCCATAACTCAGCTCCAAGGGGTCTGACACCTTGTTCTGGCCTCCAAGAGTACCTGCAGGAACATATATAAGCTTGTTTGTGCGTACACACACACACACACACACACACGCACACACATGCACACACACATTCTCTCTTTAAATTAATTAACTAATTAATTAACATGAAAAATGTTTTGTAAAGAGTTGTCCTATGGCCTCTGCATGGGTGCTCTGGAACACACACACCATGAACACACACACACCACGAACACATAGATATATGCATACACATACATAATAATAAACTTAGAAAAACTTAAAATGAAATCAAGTCAAACAAGTATGTAACTTTTTTTTAAAGATTTATTTATTTATTATATATGAATACACTGTAGCTGTCTTCAGACACACCAGAAGAGGGCATCAGATCTCATTACAGATGGTTGTGATCCACCATGTGGTTGCTGGGATTTGAACTCAGGACCTCTGGAAGTGCAGTCAGTGCTCTTAACCACTGAGCCATCTCTCCAGCCCCAGTATGTAACTTTTAATACATGTCTGACTTAAAAGTATACATCTTGAATCATGCTGTTGCTAAAGACAGACAAAATTCTCCTGCTCATCTATAACACTGTATATTTGTTGGATAAATGAATGCTCTGGAGGTTCTGCTAGGCTCTTTTGTTATGGGCTACAGAGAGGAAGAACCTGTTAACCTGTTGCTAAGCAACAGTACTTCCTGGACCAGAACTTCTGCACAGTAAAGGGAGGGTGCAGTGCAGATCTACAAAGGAAAGAGCGAGTGCAGTGCACGTATGAATAGAGAGACAGGAAGCCACCTCTGGAAACCAAGCAGAGGATTCAAGTGAGCATCTGACAAGGAAGCCCCAGGCCCCATTCTCAGGTCCTGTCAGCTCCTAACCCCCACTGAAGACCAGAAGACTGGCCCCGCCACCACTCCATGAAATCAAAGTGAAAACCAGCCTAGTGCATTTTATGGACATTTAATTTACAAGACTTTGCTAAGATCTTCAAGTGCTCAGAGAATAACAAACAGTGCTTGCCACCAAGTCTGGGAATCCAAGTTTGATGGCTAGGACCCACTCCCACAAATTGTCCTCTAACCTCCACATGAGCACTGTGGTATATGAGTCACAAATACAGACTCTCTCTCTCTCTCTCTCTCTCTCTCTCTCTCTCTCTCTCTTTCTCTCTCTCTCTTTCTCTCTCTCTCACACATACACACACACACTCACACACACATGCACTCATGTATACATATATGCATGTACACACTCACACATAGGTGTGTACACACACACACACACACTAAATAAATGTCATTAAAAATCCTACCATCTTCACAGTGATAAGAGAAAAAGCACTAACATTTTACTAAGAGTTCATTAAGTTCTGAACCTGAAGCACAAAGCTAACTTAAGTGGAAAGGTTAACTTCATTAAGACTAGAGACTTGCCGGGCGGTGGTGGCGCACGCCTTTAATCCCAGCACTTGGGAGGCAGAGGCAGGCGGATTTCTGAGTTCGAGGCCAGCCTGGTCTACAGAGTGAGTTCCAGGACAGCCCGGGCTACACAGAGAAACCCTGTCTCGAAAAACCAAAAAAAAAAAAAA